TTAGATTCGTACATAGTGCCTACTCTTCTTTGTTTCCAAGTATTATTTTGCGCCACAAATGAACGGCATGCGCCAGAAACGCAGCCAAATCTTGCGATTGCGACTACGAAATTCATTATTTTGGCCTCAGAGCCTGAAGCGAAAAATACAAGCATATTTATTTCAAAAAGACTTCAGGTTTGTCGAACGGTGTTATGAGAATTTTGATAACAGTACTGCATAAGTTTTTCAGTGATGCCGCAAAAGTGTTGTATCTATCTTCTTTTATTGTGCAGTCGGCGGGACCGATTCAAAATTGAGTCGTTGCTACTAAAATAGCAGCATATGGCCTCAGATGATGAACAGGAAAAATAGTTGCGTAAATTTAGACATAAACCACCCCCAAACCATGAATATCTTTTGAAGGCACTATAGACGACCATTAACTAACTAGATGTGATGAAGATCAAATGTAAGGAATACGCTCATTTTACAAAATTACATGCAAGTACCAAAAAGTGATGTAAGTACTTATTCAACGGTCATTTTCAGCGCTCCCCGCTAACGTGACTTCAAGTTGAGATATTTGCGGCAAGGTACCGCATTGAGCAAAATGGTTTTAATTTACATTATAACTTGTTGTGTTTTGTCAGAAAATGATCCTAACTCAGATTTTGTGGAAAAAGGTCATTATCTCCCTTTAAAAAGTGGAGGGGATGAGATCCCCTCAGTCACACCCCTGTGGCGACGCCCTTGGGTAGGTACCATGGTTGGTGGGTCAAAATCCATGGTTAGATTTTTCCATGCCAGCCTGTGATATAAAATTTTAGGTTGTGATTGCAGATGGAGCGAAACTGGGATGAATGACGGAACACTTCCATAAATGTTTCCTTTCAAATATGATAGCCCAAACCTGGTTTGGGCTGATACTTAACTGACTTGGGCTTCACAAATATTTTTAACTTTGACAAAATTCACTCCACATTTTAACCCTCTTTATTTTCTGATGCCAATAGATGGCAATCAGCCATCCAGTTACATTACACATTTTGCTTGGAAATAAATCACCTGGAAGTTCAGAGTTTCCACTTATGACAATGCACGATGCAAGTCTCCATTTATGGATCAAAAACTTTTCATATTTAGAAATGTTTCCAAGAATAGAAGCATTTCCATAGATGGAACGAAACTACCTACCACAATGTGCCTCAGCCTGACTGACCTGCAACCAATCTCAATCTAACATAAAACATTGTTAGAACCACGCACAGCTTATTTAGGGGAAAAGTAATCACATGTGATCATGCTCCATGACCCACACTTAAAATACAAAGCAATCCACTTCATAAATGGATAAATGCTGAAAAAATTCACGTGAAAATATGAAATCAAGGTCGGAGTTATATGGCCTTGCCATTACAGCGTTACCGCTGGTACTTTGCTGGTTTCCCCAGATTTCCACACAAATTTCCCTATTTCGGGCACTCATTTCCCTAGATGCTCATTTGCATATAAAATTTAGTCCAAATGTCCCTGATTTAGAAGGCCTTGCTTGATTTGACCCCAGAGCGAACATCCCGAAGGATTTTACTACAAGAAAATCCTGAGCAGCCCTCATCTTGGGTAGTAATTCACCCGCTGGCCGATTCTTCGGGATATGCTTGCTCCATGGGGTAAAATCAAGCAAGCTGCCGCAGGGCCGGCGCCACAGATTTCGGACTGCGGGGGCAGCTTGTCCCGATAAAGGGCCCATGCGGAAAGGCCCAAGGTAACCTATACACAAAATCTGAAAACTCCTCGGATTTGGCTCAATATTTTTTCGAGAGGGGCCCAAATTATGCAAAAATGCATGTTCCTGCAATTTTTTAAAGGGCCCGGCTGGCAACTGGTGGATGGGCGGCTTCCCCCTGCCCCCCCCCCCCCTGTGGCGCCGGCCCTTGCTCTGCTAAATCAGGGACATTGACATTTGGACTTGTGCACTAGGGAAATGAGTGCCAGAAATAGGGAAATTTGTGTGGGAATCTGGGGAAACCAAAAAAAAACAGGGGTAACGCTGGCCACGCGGATTCAGTGTTTACCTTGGCTGATTCCGAAGGTCTATGAAGCTAGGCAGTGTGTGCATAATTTGAAGATATTGATTAATAATAGTCAATTTTATGGTTTCAAAGCTTACTTAGAGGCTATAGCTAGAGTGTATATGCTAGTAATGCTGGGCGTCCTTGGAGCCTACCTAGTGTTTTGCAAGGAAGTCTAGTGTGCGCCACATTTGCCAAGCAATTGACACGTGAGAAGTTATAATTTATGTGTGTGGTTTCAGTCGGGCACACTGTGATAATTCCGTTCCATATTTTTTTTTTATAAATTTAGTCCAAATGTTTGATTGGGTGGCTTGAGGGATCCGAGTCCACACTAAGCATAGCTTGTTGTGCCTGTCTCTGAACAGTGAACCCACCACCCGATCACGCAATTCCAGTGCTATGGCAGAATTTCGTCTGAAAGTTTAACGTGCCCGGTAGACTGGACACGGTCCCCTCCGCCCACTCATGCTCTCTGGTCTTCGTGCGGCCCCTGCCACATACATGCACGCCATTACACGTAGGGGCCAAATGTTACCGCTCACACCTGCACTGGGGCTTGAACCGGGCTCTCACCACCAGTTCCAGCGTTGAACTCTGGCGCTTTAGACCACTCAGCCAGGAATGGGACTGGCCTTCTGGTTTTATAGAAACGTTCCTTTATTTGAAACATTCCTAAATATAGAAACACTAGGTAGGTACTGTTCCAAAACTGGAAATGCTCAGAAACGCCAATCTTTCTGGGTGATTTATTTCAAAGCAAGATGTGTTATAACTGTCTAGATGGTGGACTGCCATCTATTTATATTGGCATCAAGGAAGCACTGCAGATGGAAATGCGGTGTCAATTTTTCCAAAACTTAAAATAACAGGCGAGCACGCACCTTCCGTTTCCACATACAGAAACCCTATTCCATATTTGGAACAATGATCACCTCAGCGTTTCTATCTATGGAACATTGTTTCTATATACTGAAACGTTTCTACATATAGTATATGGCACGGAATAACCACAGTGTGCTCAACTGGTTTGGTATCTGGAGCAAGGCCTCTGGAGCTTGTAATTTTTGTTTCATATTAACTATGATGTTGGTTGCTTCTAACTTAGTATTTTTGTGGAATTTCTCTCCACCCAGAAGATCAGTTTGGTTGTTGGTACCCCTGATATTCTAGTTGGAAATCAGCATTGGTTCAATTTTGGTTTTACCTAAGATTTTCATCCCACCAACTTGTTTGAGAAACTCCACCCATGGGTGACACCGAAGCCTGTCAGTTGGGCAAACTGCAGGGAAGCAGTCCAAACATGGATTGATCAAAATTAAGATATGACATCACAAAAATGGGTGGAGCAATGCCCATATAAGGAGATGTAATTTATATTAATATTACAATTCTGACTTCCTCCCTTTCAAACCCCTCGTCACCAGTCAAAGTCCCCATGATGGTGAGATATTCACTGTGGTTAAAAGGAGTGAACAGCTCTATCTAAATGATGCATCTGATGATGATGTGTTGTGGCTTTTGCATGCTATTTCTGAAGATAGGAGAGGGTACATCTCTGAAAATTGGATTTCAACTGTCAAAATAATCTAAATTAAAATTCAGCATAATCTATTTTAATATTGGCCACCTGACAACGTCATCTAAAGCAGGTTACCCACTTGTTTCTGTCCTGGAATCAGGTGCAGATAATCTAAATTTTGATTATTTAATTTATCTTGTAGGTGGAATTAAAATATCTTCAAAGGTTCTTTTTTGCTTATGAGATGTAGCCTGAATTATTTTCTCTAGTAGGTATCTGAAGCTGTGGTAAGCTTGTCGTTTTCCAGAGCCGTGATTTAACCATTCCAGTGAGGGTCTGCAAGCATGCCCAAATATGGGCACAAATTGTGATGTAATAATCTAAGTTAAGATCAATCCATTTTAGATTTTTTTCCCCTGCAGTTTGCCTGACTGCTGTGTGTGAGGCTGTAGCCCACTCTAGGCAGAGCACCACAACATATTTGTGCACAGGTTTTATGAATATAAATGACCTATAGAGTCATTCACTGGGTAAATCTTTGGGACCCACTCAGCTCTGAGCTCCACCCCATTTGCTCAAACCCAAACACTGTTTAAAGGCCCTGAGCAGGAACACCTTGCAGGCAAGTCCCTAAATATGCTTGCAGGTAGGTGGACCAAATGAAACAACTAGGGAAGGAGTATCAGATTTGGACAAAGTCCTCATCAAACCAGTGGGGGTAAGCTGGATGAAAGTAGGTAGAACTCGTTTAGCGTAAAGTATGTACAACCCAAATCTCATTTAAATAAATTTCAATTATTTAAATTTCACAATTATTTAAATTTCATTTAAATAATTGTGTTCCTATATCAATGTACAGATCAGCTTGGATCAGGCCAGTGTTCATTGCCTTGTTTTATATTATGATTTATAAGTTTGATTTTTATTGCAGGCAAGTGCACCAGAGTAGAGGTGGCAAAATGTGGACCCGAGGACCCGGTCCAAAGAACCAGTCTGGACCCATATGGGTCCAGACCGGTTCTTGGAAATTTTATGACGGGTCCAACCGGGTCCTACCATAAACTATACATCTTGCACACTACACATTATTGCAAAATATGAAGTGAATGAAGTGAATGTTTCTCTGCACACAGTAGCTCATGAGTATTCCCAATGGGAAATAGGCTGTTAAACATGATGCAACTAATGATGTCTACAAGTAGTTTGTATTAATTGACTTTTGGGGACCGGGTCCAACTGGTTCCGATTCCAACTAAGACCGGGTCCGACTGGTTCCAGAAATGTCCAGCCGGGTCTGGTTCGAGTCTGGTTCCCAAAATTTTCATCTTTTGCCACCTCTACACCAGAGCTTCTCTGTTGTTCGGCTCGATCATGCCAGTTTAAAACTAATAGAGCTTCTGATTATTCACAACATTTCAACAGTCATTTGAAATCTGCAGAAAAAGTCTGCCACTCACTTTGTTGTCCACTCTGCTCACAAGAGTTCACAAGTGGCCGTAACTGGTTAAGGCATTATAAAAGAGTTCACACTGTGGAAGTGCACAAATCACAGAAAAGGCAAGCCAACTCCTCAAGTACATGTGATCCATCAAGTGCTTCTTGCGAGGTGAATGAATATGGTGATGAGTGTATGCTGGAGAGCAGTGAGGCACCAAAGACTGAGGGAAGTAGGGAAAAGGTTGCCAAGATCCTCCTCAAATATCATATCGAGTATGGGCTGCCAAAGGCTGCAACCTCTCTTTTGGCCAGTGACGTTGGTGAACTGATAGATAGAGCTATCAGGGAGCAGTCTGAATGTCCGCCTCCTGGGCAGTCAGTAAAAGATGCATGCGAAGAATTTGAGAGTGAATATAAATTGACAAAATTCTGTCACGAGGACCTTGGGTACATTGCACCAAGTACCCTGGTTTTCACCTCGGGAGGCAAAGAACAGAAAGCAAGTTATCAGTATGTAGATCTGAAGAAACAGTTGAGGTTTTTGGTTGAGAATGGTAAACTGGAAGGCTGCAAAGAAAGCAAGGCAATCAAGCTGGTGATCTATTTCGACGATTTCGGAGTTTGCAATCCTCTGCGTAGCAAAGCAGCCAACTATTCCATAGGTGCTGTGTACTTTGCTGTTGATGAAGTTTCAACAATGTCAGCACTCAGTGACATCTACCTGCTTCTTCTCTGCCCTACCAAACTCATGAAGGAGCATGGCATGGGCACCATCATGAAGCCAGTAACTGACTCCCTCAGTGATCTCGTGGACCATGGTTTGGACGCTTGCAATGCGCATTTCTCCGTTTCTCTGGAGTTTGTCAGTGGAGACAATCTTGGAATCCACAAAGTCGCCGGGTTTCAAGAAACGTTTTCGTCGGGACCCCGCCCGTGCAGAACATGCTATGCCACTAATAATGAGTTCAATGAGAAGCTCACGGAGGGAGACTTGATACTGCGCACAGAAGAGCAATACCGGAAAGAACTGGATATGTTTGAAAGCGAAGGATGCGATGAGGAAACGAAAGGCACAGGAATCAAATCGAAATGTGTTTTCGACGAAATCAAAGGATTTGAGGTCACATCGATGTTCCCTCCTGACATCGCACATGACCTCTTTGAAAGCGGAGTTGTCACTCATTGTCTTGCGCTGGTGCTGTCATACTTGATATTTCAGATGAAGCTCTTCACACTCAGTGCCGTGCAGAAAGCAATGAAGTCGTTCACATACACCAGACAGGACCGTGTGAATACGCCCCCTGTGTTACATGCAAAGGGGAAAAAGGTCATCGTGAAAGGCACTTTCAGCCAATGCTGGACGCTGATCAGAGTGCTGCCCTTCATGATAGGACCACTAGTGCCACGTGATGAAGAAACATGGCTGCTAGTGGCTGACCTACTTGGACTGGTGCAACTCATCTGTGCTCCGCTTCAAAAATAAAACACTCAAAAGCTGCCATTTTTACAGACTACCTCCCGCCGGAACCAGAGGAGGACATGCAAGTTCACAGGAATCGGCTAAGGCAAGAGGGACTAACCGAGGAAGAGCGGGAAGCGCTGCGAGACTTGACATTCGCGGACCGCCGTCGACACGCCGTGGCTCTCTCGACGCCAATGAAGAAGTTCCTGCACATGTACCCCATGATGAAGAATCACCAAGAGGTAAGTTATAGGAGGCAAGAAGGAGTCTTGTAAGAAGGAGTCAAGGAGGCAGTCTTGTAGAGTAATATTTCGCCGGGGAACCTTCATCGGTACCTGACTCGATTGAATTTGCAATAATACCTGCAATAATACTATCCCGAAATTGTTCCGATGCTGAGATGAGGCAGGGGTTAAGTTTTAATCTTGGCTTTTGCATGATCTGTCTGTCTGTCTGTCTGTCTGTCTGTCTGTCTGTCTGTCTGTCTGTCTGTCTGTCTGTCTGTCTGTCTGTCTGTCTGTCTGTCTGTCTGTCTGTCTGTCTGTCTGTCTGTCTGTCTGTCTGTCTGTCTGTCTGTCTGTCTGTCTGTCTGTCTGTCTGTCTGTCTGTCTGTCTGTCTGTCTGTCTGTCTGTCTGTCTGTCTGTCTGTCTGTCTGTCTGTCTGTCTGTCTGTCTGTCTGTCTGTCTGTCTGTCTGTCTGTCTGTCTGTCTGTCTGTCTGTCTGTCTGTCTGTCTGTCTGTCTGTCTGTCTGTCTGTCTGTCTGTCTGTCTGTCTGTCTGTCTGTCTGTCTGTCTCTCTCTCTCTCTCTCTCTCTCTCTCTCTCTCTCTCTCTCTCTCTCGCTCTCTCGCTCTCTCGCTCTCTCGCTCTCTCGCTCTCTCGCTCTCTCTCGCTCTCGCTCGCTCTCGCTCTTTCGCTCTCTCTTGCTCTCACACACTCTCTCGCCCTCGCTCTCGCAGATACACGGCGCGCACGCACATGTTAAATTATTCCACAATGTTTCCAGATCTGGTACGAGCTGGAAAGGATCAGCGGCGGACAGGGTTCCCGTCTTCAGGAATACCGGAAGCGATTGTGCGACTTCCTCACCGCTGTGCAGATGCACACTGAGTGCGAAGGTGAGACAACATATGCACATGGTTAAACATGCCTCTTTTCAGGGTTAACTGTCTTCATTAGATTTACATTTGAGTGAAGGTTAGCCGTATGTTGAATGGCCGAAATATGAAAAGTATAGGTACCAAAAATAAATGTATTTCAAGGACATCTCTTCTACGGTTCAATCAACATACGCTTATCTTCCACTCATTGATCCCACTATGCTCTTCATTCATGATTGTACTTTTTCATTTCATTATAGGCCTTTATACCTACCTTTGACGAGCCGCTCGATCGGCAGGCGCGGGTAGAAGCAACGCAGATTTTTCATGTCTTTTAGCCTCGGTAGGCGGCATGAATAATTTAGCAATGAATGATCCATCCACTTCTTCTAGTTCGGAAATAATGAGATAACCATTCGTTTTGCCATGCGCCGAACCCTCACATTTCACACCAAGGTATTGTTTGCAAGGTTGGGAACTAAAAGTAACTGCCGTTTGTTTCAGATGATGACAAGGTGGATTCGCTACTGGAATATCTCCTGGTGGACCCAAAGGAGATATTCGGGTCCGCTGGCAGCCAAACGATGCCGCACTTCGAGGAGAGCCCGAATGGTTCTCTGACACTGGTTGTCGAGGGCCAGAGGGTGGTCGAGGACGTGGAAATGACGCGCAGCGATGCCCTTCTGCTGTGGGCGGCGTCCTTCCCAGTGTATAACCAAAAGCCGCCCACAAAAACCGCAAAAAATGCACTCGCATTCCTGTCTGAGCAGGTTTTTGAGAAGGCCCGGGGCAGCGTGGTGGTTGGAAACCGCGCCCTGAAGCGTATTCAGCAGATCAAACAACTGACTGAATAAGCCCCTCACACACACACACACGACATCCTTTGATACAGTGCGTCTCAGAATGTTTACGTCGTCCGTGTTGTTTTGAATGTTTACGTGACGATGTTGTTCAGTTCCTGTTATAACTGAAACTGTTCCAGTTTCAGTTCAGTTCCTGTGTCGTTTTTTTTTCTCAAAATGACACAGTTTTAAAGTCATTTTTCCCAGGAAATTAGTTATGTATGCTCACTTTTCGGATTATTCTCTGGGATAATAATATCTAACTCACAAGTCCATATATTTCGGATGATATTGCTCACCCTTGGTCACTGGACAAAATAAAAACAATTACATGTATGAAAAACCACACACCAAAATTATTCCCTAGACGGGTTACATTTTTCAAAAATATATCACTTGCCAAAAAACTGACACGGTCTTTTAGCTTGCATGTTCCTCTACATAACAAGTAGTGCAACCAATCTTCTAAGTTCTACATATACCTATGGATACCTACTACCTATACTTGTGTCTACAGAGATACATCGGACACAATAGATCAATTTGCACAACCGGGTGTATGTTTAGTTCCTATGGATGACATCTTCTGCTCATGTCGACCTATTTCTAAGGGTGAAATCCCATATTGGACTAAGGCCAAATTTTCCTACATCTCGGTTCATGTATGGATCTTTTTCTTTTATTTCTATTGCTTCGCGCACGATTCTCTTTTTTCCAGTTACTCTCACATGCCAAAGTTTTGCCTTCCATGGGGTGCATGTTTCTATCGCACGGCCTAGTGTGCCGAGCGGGTGCCGACTTTTGTACCCGCCCGTGCTCGATGTCTTTAGCATGCTCGTTGAGCCTGACATCTTTTGGGCGCCCTGTTTCTCCAATGTAAATTTCGCCACATTCACATTGCATTTCATATATCGTACCCTTTTGCTTGGCCTTGGGAATCCTATCTTTCACGTTAACTAGTGACTTTTTTAGAGTTTTTGACGAATGCCCTACAATTACGTTGTGAGCGCGTAGAAAGCGGGAGATGGGCTCGCTTACTCCTTTCACATAAGGCATGGAGACATAACGAGGGCGGTTCGCTGGTCGCGGACGGCTGATCGGACCGGACGGCTGGTCCGACCCCGGCGGCGCTGGCTGACTGGTCCCGGGCGGCTGGTTCGATCCCGGCGGCGCTGGCTGACCGTTCCCGGATGGCTGGTCCGGCCCCGGCGGCGCTGGCTGACCGGTCCTGGACGGCTGGTCCGACCCCGGCGGCGCTGGCTGACCGGTTCTGGACGGCTGGTCCGACCCCGGCGGCGCTGGCTGGCCGGTCCCGGACGGCTGGTCCGAAAGAAATAAAAGAAAAAGATCCATACATGAACCGAGATGTAGGAAAATTTGGCCTTAGTCCAATATGGGATTTCACCCTTAGAAATAGGTCGACATGAGCAGAAGATGTCATCCATAGGAACTAAACATACACCCGGTTGTGCAAATTGATCTATTGTGTCCGATGTATCTCTGTAGACACAAGTATAGGTAGTAGGTATCCATAGGTATATGTAGAACTTAGAAGATTGGTTGCACTACTTGTTATGTAGAGGAACATGCAAGCTAAAAGACCGTGTCAGTTTTTTGGCAAGTGATATATTTTTGAAAAATGTAACCCGTCTAGGGAATAATTTTGGTGTGTGGTTTTTCATACATGTAATTGTTTTTATTTTGTCCAGTGACCAAGGGTGAGCAATATCATCCGAAATATATGGACTTGTGAGTTAGATATTATTATCCCAGAGAATAATCCGAAAAGTGGGCATACATATGACACAGTTCCTGTCGTCTGTGTCGTTTTTAATGTTTACGTGACGATGTTGTTCAGTTCCTGGTGGACACCTGTCCTGGCAAGGCGGCGTTCGTTTGTATTTGCAGCTCAGAATGTGTGCTATAGTCATTCGCTCCAGGCATCCAAGTCGGTTGTTCGTTTGATGCATGGCGTCTCAGATTCGTTTGTGACATGGCGGCTCAGATTGTGACGCGAACATGTTTTGAATAGATATTTATTCACAATCGATGGCAACACAAATCGAATTCCTAAATCCAGACGTTTCGACAGCAGTGTGCCTTCGTCAGTGGCTAAATTAAAAATATATATAATATCAAAAACAATCGCTATAAGTCTTGTGTCTTGTATAATCTTGTATGTGTATCTTGTATCTTGTATGTCTTGTGTGTGAACGACTTATAGCGATTGTTTTTGATATTATATATATTTTTAATTTAGCCACTGACGAAGGCACACTGCTGTCGAAACGTTTGGATTTAGGAATTCGATTTGTGTTGCCATCGATTGTGAATAAATATCTATATGTCTGATAATTTACATGTTTTGAATAAAATGTCGACAAGTTTCGAAACATAATGTGTGTAAAAGTGCAACGTGGGAGTTAAATATCGAAGACAAAAGGTGTGTTATTTGACACATATTTTGTTAGTAAGTGAAAGTATCTAAACGAGTTTAAAAACACGGTAATAAGGTATATGTGTGTAATTGGAAAACACGCTTGTCCGAGAAATACGTGTTAAGTTTACTCACCTTTGGTTAGTGAGATTTGCCCACACTACTAACTTCATGTTTTTCTTAGTTATTCTGCACACATTTTGATAGTAAGTCAGCGCTCTAAGAGAGTTTTAAAACACGGTAACAAGGCATACGTTTGTAATCAAAAGTGAGTAAGAAACCTGACAGGTGAGTTTCAAAACACGCCATCATCGTATTGCGTGTTCTGGTAAACACACTTATCTCAGAAATGCGTGTTAACTTTACACACCTTTTGTTAGTGAGATTTGCCCACATAACACGAAGTGTGTAAACATTTTTTACAGTGCACCACATCCAGTTTATCGAAGCAGAAAAGCTAACATCATTGTAAGCTGACAAATGTTATCAGTGCAAACCATGCCGTGTTATTTGACAATGGTGTGTGTTTATGCTTCCTTTGCCTGTTTTTCTGGATAACGTGTTAACTAACAAATCAAACGTGTGTTTTAACTCACAATCTTAGTTTTCTTACTACCTTAACCTGTTGTAGCATTACAAAGACCTTAGTTAATTGAAAAATTCGCCATTTTGTGCGCCCCTCGCGGCCGCGTGCGGCCGCCATGTTCAGTCTGCGCCGAGTCAGCGAAGGGAGAGGACGTGTGCGTTGTGGTGTGGTATAAGAAGGAGCTGGGCTGTGGCGTATAGGTGTTGCGTGGCATAAGGAGCTGCTGTGGTGTTAAGAATAAGAATAATAAGAAGTCAGACAGTGAAATGATATGGATTGTTGGACGTGCCTTTCATTCATACTGGTATGGTGAGTGATTACGGGAAAGATGAGTGCAGACATTGCTGGCGTTTCAGTTTGGTTCATGTATGTCACTAATTTTCTTTTCAATTGAAACTTCAACCAGGCTTCAGGGGGTCTCAGGTTGGAGGCACTGTTCATTTGTTGATTGTCAATTGACATAAGTATATATGACGGACTGAATAATAAGCATGTTGCACACTAAATCCGCATTAGGCTTTGAACAAGAAATTAAATGTACCTAATTATTGGTTGGGAGCCCAACCAGTGAACGCGGTGAGGTGCTGTTTTATTCAATTCCTGTCCACTGCACTCATGTTGTCAAAAAAAAAAAAATGTTTGTAGGTACATGAGCCACCATTGCTCGGTCAGGGAATTTTAGCCTTTTTGTTGCAGTTTAGTTTACCCATATCGACAGAAATGAAGCATTCTCAATGTTCTCGTAATAGGTATTTGGAGACTGTTTGGTGTCATGGCTGGTGCGGATTCCCAGGCTAGTTGGTGCGAATCAGTGCAGACTTGTCACCACGACCGGTGCAGATTACCGATTGATCTATGACGTTGGTTGACATGAGGGTGGTTGCGTTGCCTTATACGTTGTTTGAATAAACATCTTTGTGTTTAAATACTCGTCTGTGTGTTTTATTATAAGATGTAGGCATAAGAAGCAAGGATGGTTGCATATTTACACGCATACACGTAAAATGCGGCTTTAATTTCACACGCCTTTTATTAGTGAAAAGTGGCCGGATGACTAACTTTGATGTCATTTCACACGCCAAAAGCTAGTAATCGAACAAGTTTACAAACCTTATCTTAGTAGGCTTACAAAATGTCTGAAACAACCTAGTGTGTTTCATAACACGCCAGTTCCATTTTACGTGTGTCTGGAAACACACTTGCACACATATTGTGTGTGAAGTCTACTCGCATTTTGTTAGTGAAAAGTGGCCGGATGACTAGGAAGTTAGTAAACATTTTTTACAGTGTATCGGCCAATATCGATCACAACAACAGTATCCAAGCTGCTAGAACTGCATATTCTCCGCGAATTGCGGGACAAGTACCCCACATGATCTCCAATTTGGGTTCATACCAGGACGTGGTGTCAGCGAGGCATCCCTAATGGTAGGCGAGACACTGAACTGGAACCTGAGCAGAAGTCTCCCAGTATTTGCAGCCAATCTCGATGCCAGAAAATGTTTTGACAGGATATGGCACGATGGACTATTCTACCAGCTGCGATATTTTTTTGGACACAAGTACATGACTTCTAATTGTGAACTGGTATCGGAAGTTAACAGCGAAGGTAAAATTTGCCGGGCAAATATCTGCTGCGTTCTCTGTACTCCGCGGTACCAGACAGGGTGCGATACTCTCTCCAACAATCGCAAATATCTACCTGTACCCGCTGGTAGCCTCTCCGGACCACAGTGGCCGGGGCGCCTTTTGGCACCGTCACCATGTTCCTGCGGTCTGCTACGCAGACGACTTGCTACTCATGTCCACAAACACAGGGCACCTGTCACAAATGCTTCAAATAGTAGAGGACTTTGCAAGGTCGTGGAGGCTTGAGTTTACGCACCCACAAGCAGAGAAAACAAAAAGCCACATCATAGTTTTTGGAGGTGATACCCTATCCGAACTGAACTACCTACGTGGCACTAGGGGGGTCCGAAATGTATTAAAGTTGTCCGAAACCACGGGAA